TATCAGGCCCAGGCTACGTGATGTAGCGTCTGCCACGCTGTTTTGTTCAGTCTTCCATGTAGCTTCATGCCCCACCTGGGGTTTGTTTAATAACTTTTTGTTGATTATTGTGCTTTTTTACAGTGGGTAATTAGGATACATAGTTAAATTATTTCCTTTTTGTCTGTTTTTACCATTGGGAGTCTGCACATGGTGTTTTATTTACATCAGCGCTTCCGTTGGAATCACAAGCATTATCTAGAATTGAGCCCCAGCAGTCACACATACACTTAGACACCAACACAAGGATTGGTATCATGGTCCATTTCTACATTGGAGTGGGTTTTAAGAAATATGCGGTTTTTTTAATGCGTTTGTTGTTACAGACAGTGAAGTTGTACTTCCAATGGTTCTTTATACATTGCTGGTTTCTCACATGTAAGCGTAATTGTCTACAACAAAATAATTCATTTATTCAAAATGCCTTACTCAAGTTCCACATGTGTCTTGTTAGTAGTTTATAGCACACATTCAGCTTTACTCTTTCCTGGTAGCACTTTAGGTTTTAATGTTTCCTACAACTCTTGCATTCTAGTTCCTACTGAATGGACTATGACTTCTAGAGATGAAAACAGGTTGCTTTCATTGACGTGCTTTTAAGCAGGTTTTTGTCCCATAAACTGTACTGAACTGCTTGGTGTTTTGTACGTGATGTTTGGTGAGGTGAGGGTGGGGGTAGGTGGGGTCTAGAGAACCATGTCCTGTCTGTCTTTGCAATATCATCCTGTTCCTGCTCAGACAGTGCTGCTGAGTTTAGTCATAAGTCTAGGTAAGTGAAGGATTCTTGGGGCTTGGAGGTCATGGGGTGAGAGCCATCTCTCAGCAGCTCCTTTATTAACTGCACATGCACACACACACACACACACACACAGCATAAAACACATGAGGACACACGCTTGCACACATACACACCACGAAGTAACAGGACCATACACAAACTGACACACTGCACACACAGGACTTGACGAGATTGCCTGTTCACACTTACAAAGCATCTACTGTCCCTTTCTATTTGGGGTGGAGGTCAGCAATGCTAAGAAAACGGGAAAGGAGATGCCAAAGTAAAATAATGTGGTGAGAACGGAGCGTAAGATTTGGACATTTGGAGGTGGATTTCAGTACACAAACTCTAAAAAATTTACTTGAGTGGCAGCATGTCTATTGAATGACAGGGCACAGAGCCTGGTTGAACAGAAACTCCGGTGGAAATGGGTGAAAGAAGAAAACAAATAAACCCTACACTTCTGAGGTACTCCTTGCTCGTATCACATATACAGGGTATGTGTGAAACCCCCATAAATACAACAAGAACAAATATGTGTAGGTACTAAGAAACATGAAGTCAGAGGTTAAAATTATTACGGTTGTCCTGATTTTTTTAGCCCCCAATCTGTTTAGAGTCATTTAATATTCCCAATCCAATGCTTTTATTTGTTTAGTTTTAGTGCGCAGTGCACACATCAGATACATTAAAGCAATTCAATTGAATCCAATGTATATGCTTGATGACTGAATAGCTCTGCAATGCATCAAGAAAAAAAATGCCTACATCGTAGCAGTTGTTTTTAAATTTATTTTTTACACAATAAAGTATACAATAACAAACCCTCTGTAATATTAGTTGCCTTGTCGCTGTCTGGAGGAGGTTCTTCTTCGGAGAAGCCTTTGCCTGAGTTACCTGAATGAACGGTCTGTATTCTGTGTTTATTCCCATCGTCTGCCATCATTGTGGGGCTTTTGTTGCACTTGCAGTGGCATGTTCGAGCGCGGCTGTGTTATCTCTCCAACGCTCTCTCAGGTAAATAAAGCTCAAAACCGATCAGTTAAAAAATGCCTTAATTGGCACAGATACCGATTGTTGAGAAATGATTAATTATGGTGAATTTAAGGCGCTTTCATTTTCTGTTGAATCTGGTGAAAGTGTTTCTACTGCCTTATTTCATTGATTTCAAGGGGAATCTGACCAGGTGGCAGGCATAAAGAATAAATAGTCAATCTTCTCGTTGAGGCATCAGTGTTGAGACTCTTAAGTTACCAGTTAAAAACTCCTTGTAGTACTTTTAAATAGTCCAATACCTTATGCAAAAAGCATATTCGCTTTCAATTTGACTTTGACTAATGTTCACAGTACATCAGTACTGGGGGACTGCTTGGGAGAAGTTTCATAGAAAACACAGTCTGGAAGACTTGTCAAGCCTGAGGTAGAGATGTTCCGATACCATTTTTTCCCTCCCGATACCGATTCCGATACCAGTATGTTATAAACAAAAATATCATACTACGCCTGCATGACTGTGATATGATTATCATGCTGGGTAAGGCTGGCTCAGTTAAACCCTTTTGTAAAAAATGATAAATACAGCAAATTCAAGCATTTGATTTTTAAAAGAATAAAACAGTATAAAATTATAAAAAGCTTCAGAGTTTGCTGCTGCGGCTTGTCCTTGCTTTCCCTTTTTTGTTTTAGATAATTCGTGCGTGCTTTTAGGTTGAAGCGTCTTCAGGTGTTTCAATTAAATATCAGTTTGTGTGTAAAATGAGCAACACTCGTGCCACCCCTTGAGATTTTATCTTTGCACACGTTACATGTCGCAGTCTTACTGGTGGGAGATTCCAGTGTGAAATATTGCCACACCGCCGACATGATAGTGCTACTTAGCTTAGCTGTGTCTGTTGTGTCTGTGTCACGTGATCGATTCCTCCTCGTCCCTCTAAAACAGCAGCTGCAGGTTGCAGCACAGCGCCACTGTTTTAAGAGCGGCGGAGAAGACTGTACCAGAGCTTAACGGAGCTAACCGTAAATAGATTACTAATTTTATAAATGACGTGGTATCGGATGGTGCCTGGACTCCAGTACTCGCCGATACGATGCCAGCATTTTCGGCAGTATCGGAGCAATTTCCGATACTGGTATCGGAATCGGAACAACTCTAGTTATGTACTTCTCTGCAAAAAAGATTTTGGGACCACCTAAAGCACCTCCACTAGGAGTCACCAAAGCTTCACAGGGACTCACTAGGCCTTCTTGATTTTGATTTTGTGTAAGAACACTTAAAAATGTACACAGTAATATGCCTATATCTCAGCATTCTGGTCATTTCTGTGGAGAAGATTAAATTAAATAGACATTTTTAATGTTTAGATTATTATGTACGATATAAAGTAAAAGGAAGACAGCAAAGACCTAAACACAAGCTATATTCATAAAGCCTTCACTCTCTGATAAACAGCCTTGTCCTGCATTAGAAAAGTAGTTCAAACAACCACAGAGTTAATAAAACAACGGTGAAGTGTAAGGTAGGAGAAAACTCTGAATTAGTAAAAAAAAAAAAAGGAGCCTATGAAGTATGATTTTTAGAAATAAAAATCATTCTCAGATGAGACAATGCTTTTGTTCATGTCTACTGTGGTGCATCAAAATTCAAACAGGCCCTCAGTTTACACAAAAGAATGAGTTCATATTCCCTGTAAATTACCCAAAGTTTTTCCATTGGTATGGTCCTCAATTTGCGTGCACCTTTTTGCTAAGCCTCTGAAGAACAAGCTTTCCAGGAACAGGCAACAGTGTTCATTCTGGTAATGAAAACTGAGACAGAATATATTCGTCAAACAACCTTTGTCTCTGTGACAAAGGCAACACATTGACGGGGCCAAACAGACTTTATGGAACAAAAACTGTGAGTAAGTCTCCATGTAATATCTCTGACAAAACAAAACAAATTTTGAGATGAAATTCTAGGTATTCTTCTTGATAAATAAAGAGTAAATTAAATTACAGACTCATGATGACAACTAGACTAAACTGTGTCCAAGTGCTTCAGTCAAGTGTTTTCACTGTCTAAAAATTGACTGATAATAAGATAGAGATGACAAAAGCTCACATCTTATGTTTAGGCTAAATGAAACACTGACTAAATGAACACAGGCAAACCAGCATGTGGCCCATAGTGCACTTGTTCTTTATGTGGAGCATGTTCTGTAGGTAACACTG